TAGCTGCACAATTAATTTCCGAACTTCGAGGGCCAGTATTTCACAGGGTTAGCTACACTCTCCTTGCGTTCTTGCTACGGCACGAGAAGTGCAAAAACGCATAATCGCACCGGCCCGCCTGGTGCGTTCCAGCCTGGGTCTAGGGTACCGAAAAGTGCAAAAACGCATAATCGCACCGGCCCGCCTGGTGCGTTCCAGCCTGGTTTTTTTTTTTTGTTGCGATATAATTGTCTTGGACTACGAGACTTTTCACAGATTATGTGATTATACATTTTACAGTTTACTTGTCATTCAGTGACCTCTTCATGAATTATGGCAAAAAACTGGCACACACAGATCACGACGCGAAAATTTCAGGGTGATGCGAATATTAGATTTTACGAATTATTAAGCGAATCACCGTTCATATCATATTTGAATGAATCGTCTGGTTCCAAGGCTCATACAGCTGTGTGCGCACTTCCCAAACGTGGTCTCAGTATATCGCAATGCGAAATTATGCGGATATTTCGTGTAGATGCTGAACAACTTGTTATCGAGCCTCTATCGTTTATTGTTCCAAGAAAAGTGAGTTTGTAGGGGGTTTTTTTAACACTACGATGTATATATACGCACTTTTTTGATTTCGGAGAGAGGAAATTATCTCGAAAAAGGGCACATCAGCAGGATCAGCGTGATTGTGCGTTTTTGCAACAGCTGATAAGAATCTCACTCATTTGTTTATTGCAGCAAAGTATGCAAAGTTTGTTTTGCCATGTCGCGGTCCCGTTCGTTGAAACACTATTTGAAAAGTGACTTCCTTAAATTGCTTCGTTTTAGAATCCTGATCTTAATTCATGTTTCAAGTTAAGGCCATTTTAGTCTAATTTTGTTTTTTTTTTTTTTTTTGTTTCATGGTCATAGAAAAAATGAGATCAAAAACTTCATTTTTCCTAACTATGCTTTCTTCGCGCTAAAACAAAGTTTGCTGAGCATGGATTTGAAGTACAGAACAAAAAACAGCAAATTTTGAAAAATGATTTGCGCAGTATGTTTTTCTGTGCGTTATTAAAGGTAAACCAGAAATTTCGAAGTTCTTTTTTATTGCACTGTGAATTTTGAAGACTGGTTTGCATTCGAACTGGGGCGTGACTCAAAGACGCCAGAGATATTCCCGTCAGTTTTTAAAAGTCGGAAATTTTAGGCCGACTGTTTTCAAGCAGATTTATTCCCTCCTACGCGCTCGCCAACTCCGTCGTTAACGTTTCGGGAATGGCTGGCTGGTCTGAATCGAGCACCTATCTTACTGGAGCTGAAAAATTGTATGTTAAATTGTACCAACAAGCCAGTGGCATTTGCTAAGACGAGTAATCGCAACAAACTGATAATCGCTGATATTAACAACGAT